CCTTCACGTCGCCCCCGCCGTCTCCCCTTAGTTCCCTCTTTCGGCCCCCACTTCCGTGTCTGCGGCCCTAAGATCTAGCCTGGCCAAACCCCGACCTTGCCCTCCATGTCCATCTGAAGAGCTCGGTGGTCCCTGGTGTCTAGGTGTAGCTGCGGAGGCCGAACCGGGTTCTACCTTAGGGGACAAGCACCCCACTCCACCCGGAGTCCCCTGCCGTTCCCTCTACCTGGCTAACCAGCCCCGCCCCTCCTGGGCTCCAGGAAACGCTAGAAGAGTGGGTTGTAGTGGGCGTCGGCGAAGGGTGCAAAGAACCAAAAGACCACGCAGCCCGCTCCCCTGCCCTCTCCTCGCTCTGGCACAGGTGCGCTGCCCTGAGAAATGAAAATGACCACGGCTACTCTTCGACGCGTCCTCCGCCCCAGGTACGCTCAGCTTCCTCTTCCCTCCCTCCCAATCCAACTCGAGCTGGCAGCCCGACGAGGGTCTGAGCGCGAGCCTCAAACCCTGGCAACCCCACCTCTAGCCCCGAGACGCTCGTCTGAAACTCTGGAGGGACTCTGGACTGCAAAGCCCCATGGGGGTGAGGAGAGGGAGCAGCGCCCGCTTGGAGCCAGGGAGGGGTCTCCCGGAAGGGCGTTCCCTCCACCAAGGTTCTCAACTCCCCGCCCCCTCTGGGGAACTGTTGCATCAGCTTCCAGATCTCAAATTAGAGAAAGTGGTCTCCACTAAGCCAGGAAGGTGTCGAGCAGTAGAGGCGCCGCCAGGAGGCAGCACTTAACAAAAAATGTCCGGGCTGAGGGTGGCCGGGAGGCTGGGTCACCAAAGCACCTTTCATCTGAAGAGTCTTAGTAGCAGTGTGGACTCAACAATAGAGAGATTTGCTGGGATAATTCAAGAAAAAGGATCTGGAAATGCTTCACCACGTTTTAAAGCTAAAAGGTAATTCGTAAATAACATAATTTCCTTTTATATACCTTTTAGACAACCCAGCTTTGGCATTTTTTAAAGCTGACATTGCCACACTGCAGAGATTCACAGAGAGCCACCCACCTTCACGACCAGTCTGGTGGAAAGGCACACAGCTTTAAGAGACTTTCCAGCTATCAGACAAGAAAAAAGAGTGTAGCCTGAGGTCATAATTTACCCATCTTGAAGCTGGGTCATTTACCGCAGAATTTAGCCTGTACTGATTTAGCAGGGATTTGACAGCCATTGGAAAAGAAAAGGAATATGTTACAATAAATTATGTAAGTAATAAGAAAATAATATGCAAAGGAATGTATTGTGTGAGTGCGTGGTTTACAGCCATTAGTTCCCACACTTCTTGCTGGGAGTGACAGTGATTTGATCTTAAGCTGTTCTAAGAAGGAAGATAACATGAAATAAGACACTTCCCAAATAGTTCCCTCTTCCTAAACCTTAGAATTTGGTCACAAGCTTCAAAAAGGGGAAGAGGATGCAAATGAGGTGGAATTGGCAACCCAGAGCCAGCTTCATTTATGCTTTTTCTCCAACATCATCATTATTCATCAAAATGGTTAAAAAAGCCCCTAATTTCCCAGAACAGTGCACTTGTAAAAAAAAGTCACTGTATACAGACATGACAGAAGGATATTTGAATAAACATAATGGACAAAAACATGAGCTGATAACCAAATGTTAAAGCCAAATACAGGCCATGATGTCCTTGAGAGGCA